TCCGTGAATTTTTTTCGAGTCGCGGGCCGAAGGCAATGCCGGTCGTGTTCGGTTGCACCACACGGCGCACGCCGATCCTGAAAGTCACGTGGTACCGCGAGTGACCCCAGTTTACTCTCGGGTACTTTTGCGATAGGATCCCACCGATCTCGAACTGCTTGGAAATATTTCTTCATGGACAATTGCGTTAACCACGCCTAAAGCGGACACGCTTTTACCACCGTAAAATCAAGCGATTATATTCAGTCGTTGATTTATTTGGAATAGGCGCAAGAGATGACGTCACAGATTGATTATCACCCACAGAGGGTTATACGTTCTGTGACTCGAACGCAGCTGAAAGTTGCCCAAATAAACGCAATGCCCGGCACCGCTCTGCATTCTGCGGGCGTTTGTTGGCGACGCAATGCCCGGCACCGCTTTGCATTGTGCGGGCGTTTGTTGGCGCGGCTTGGCTTTTTCCAAGAGAATCCCTCGCGCTTGCTACGTGGACTTCCTTTGGTGGAACCAATAAATGTTATTAGGTTAGCTCAGTTACGGACCTGCTCATAAAACACCGATTGCACGAGCAGTACCAGTGAGCAGTACCCTCCTCTACCCCACACGACTCGCCTCAAGTACACTGTACCTCAAGCAAGCCTCACGCAGTTCGACGCGCCGTGGTCATAGCCGTGGTATTCTATGCAATGCGTATGTTTCGAAATACAGAGTCTAGATGGCGTTCTACCGCATTCTTTTCATTAGGGAGGCTGTAGTGAGGGTGGGCGCAACTCAAAACCTGGAGAGCGTTTGCAATTTAATGGCGGCGCCAGAGGGAGAGGATTCGAGAAAGGGTATGCGCCAGTGTTGCCTGCACGAGAGCAGGCGCCCGCTCTGTTGCAACTCTGTTGCTCCATGCGCCTTTCCTCCTCTCGCCTCCCATTGCAAGCAACGAGGACCTTGGCGCAGCCTCTCTCGCTTCCTTCTCGCTCCGAGAATTGCAAACGTCGAGCGGGGAAAGCAAAGTTGCCAGACAAGCAGCAACGTCCAAGATGGCGGAATTTACCATTTTTCGCGTTTAAAAAATACTTAACCTATCGCAAAAAAACTGGTGGCTATGAAAAGTTAATTATTTATACCTTGTGTAAATTATTCAAGCACCTTAATGGGCTTTTATGACCCGAGTTAGGAAAGAAAACGACCCTTTGCCCCATAGACTCCCAGCAAAATTTAGCAATTAAATGGCGTCCATGTCCCGTGATCGCCGATCTAGCAGTTGCACCCACCCTCACTTGAGCCTCCCTACTTTTCATAGCTTTCTCTCTTTTCTCTACGCATGCTCTACGCATGGCCTCCGAGATCCCGAAGCGCGCGCGCGAAACGAGCTTCTCCGGCCGCCCCCTATGCCCGTCCCATTCGTCTCGCGGCGCTGTCCGCCCAGTCATAACAGAGGGCGAGCCGTCAGCGGGCCACGGGCCGGCCTGGCACTCGGGCCGGGCTCGGGCTCCACGTCAACATTCATGAAGGGCCCGGGCCGGGTACGGGCCTTGCATTCACGTCTACGAGGGGGGCCAAAGCAAGCCAAACCGGCCATTACTTTTTTTTTTTTTTTTTGTCTATCTACGTCTTTAGAGCAGCTGTTCACCGTTTTGCCACAATACACAGAAATTTGCACTGGATTGGGGGAGTACCTCCCCGCGGAGACACGCCGCCTCCTCATTTTTCGATTACGCCCTATCCGCACGAATGGGACGGCCGGAGAAGCTTTCGCGCGCTTCGGGTACTTTCGGGATCTCGGAAGCCATGCTGGCCATGCCCTACGGAACACAGTTTTGAAACGAAAACCTAGATGGCGCTTCAAACGACGGGGGGCACGGGAGGCTAAAGCTTGCTAAAGCCCGGGAGGCCCTGAAGTGAGTAGAGGGACGGGGGTACTTCTTCCGAAGGAGTTCCACACCTACGGTAATACACATTTATGCCCCTAGTGCGGTAAATGCGCGCTTGCCTGCACGCCCACCATACTAACAAAAAAGCGGATCCTAGACCGCTGCCAATCCACAAGGGAATTTTCCGTTAGAAACAAACAAAAATAATTGACAAGAACAATAGCCAAATCATCTTTCCTGAGGTGTTCAATATCAAAGGGGATTTAGGTTAGGGCGCTAAAACGGTACTCTGCGTGTGCTCGATAAAACATTTAAACCTCTTGCGTCGACATTCTGCGGTGTCGGTTTGAACGGCTTGCATTCTCCTTCCAATAAATATCACCTGCCTTTTTGCGCACGGGTGATATGCTCTTGTTTTCGTCACCTAAGAGTATTCACTTTCTTCAAGGTACATCGACTGACCGATTTACCCGTATTTCATGTTTATAGATACACGCATAATCAGCACAACAAAAAGAAAATCAGAAAAGGAAAAAAAAAACAAAAAAAAAAACGGAGCCAAGCCAGTCTTATAATAATTCAGAATTCCTTATGATTTCACACCCCACATCTCGCGGTAAGTATTTCGCCAGAGTGGATATGGTACGGTCGTGGAAAATTCCCTTATATTCCCGTCGCAAAACGAGCCATCGCATACGTGCGCGACGGCTCACTTGTTCATCCGAAACGTTTCCATCGCTTCAACGTGCTAAAAATAAAAAAAAAAAAAAAAAAAAAAAAAACATTTGTTGATAATTATTTCAATTTCATTGAAAAAAAGTTATAGAATTATATCAGAGACCATATGCTGGTGAGCTTTCAACGTCTTAAAAAACCCGAGACTTTAGAACAAAAAGCTGGACAACCCGCACACATGTCTCAAGCACAGGTGCGACGTTCATTCCCCTGTGCGCATGTTGTCCACTTCTCTGTTCCTAAAGCTGCGGCGGTCGCAATGCTCTTACATCATACAAAAGGCAGTCTGCACACTCACGGTCTGATGCGTGTTTCTTTCATTCATAACGACCCTGTCATATTGGACATAAAAAAAAAAAAAATCGTATGTAGACATATCTGTTCAAAGCATACATATGCATAGGCGTAGACTACGGGGGAGCATCGGGGCTCGTGCCCCCCCCTGGTGACATCCGGGGGGGGCAGAGCCCCCCCGGGACCATGATCCTTACCGAGACGCTGTTTACGTGCCATGTAACGAGCTTCTAGTAGTGACATGTAAACAAAATAACGCACACAGCGATGGACACATACGCTGTCAAATGCAACCCCCCCCCCCCCCCCCCCCCCGGAGAACTTCTCAGCCTGCTCCCCCCCCCCCCCCCCCCCCCCCCCGGGAAAATGGAAAGTCTACGCCGCTGTATATATGTATGGAGGAAACATGGTTCATCAGGAGTCCGTCAGTCCGCATGCATAATGCTCAGGAAAACGGAGGGAAAGGAGGCGGCCGGAGCACGCGGGGAAGTCTGAACGCCGAACTCTGGTTGGTACGATTAGTGGGTACACAAAAGCCTAAAGCTTTTGTCTCCACTGCATTCGATGAACGGGTACGAATGCGAAAGCCGAACGCCAGACGCCGGCGTTTTAGTGGCGCACGCTCCGTCATTACTTTTGTGAGAATATCGGCAATGTGTCCTCAAAGTCTTCAAAGTGTTAATAAAAAAAAAAAAAAAATCGAGCAGTTCAATTTAGAACAAAAAGAGGCCCCGCGGGGCACCAGATCGCAACCCCCGCCACTGTCACGATCCGCCCAGTTTTCTTTGTTTGTGGTTTGTTTGTTTGTTTTGACTTGCGTCGAAGGAGTTTGAGTGCTGGGGCGTGTTAGGCCTTCGCTTGGTGTGTCCTGGTATTTCAAGGACGTAACCTGGAGGATTCGAGCCGTTCAGCTTGTTAGGCTACGGACTTCGTAGGAGTCACCGGCAAGCGACACTGATGTCGTTGCGGGTATGTTGTGTTCGCAGCTAGGCTTAGCGGGGTTGCGGGGCCTCTCCCAAGCGTCATCCCCTGGGAAACCCGAGCGCCGGGGTCGGGGGACGTTTGTACCCATTTAGCCGGTGGGTGTCCGGCGGTGGGCTTCGAACCGACCACCTCCCGTAGCCGTGACGGACGCTCTGTGCCACTAGGCCACGGCTACGGTGATGAACTGGGTTAACCAAACTGGTTTATGAGTTTATCTCCTTTGCATTTATTCTATTTCGCGTCGATGTCTCAGTTTTGCTCGTTGAAGAGCTGCGCGCTGCATAATTGCAATGCGGCGAAATTTTAATTACAAATATTCAACCGCGCAGGCCGAAGGCGTGTTCGGTCACTCCACGCAGCGCACGCCAAGCCGTGTCACGTGAGTCACGTGATGGAGCGAATGACTCTTGCTTACTCTAGTTTTCACACGTCCACAGACAGTTCCGAAATATCAATTTGTTTATCGTTTATAGGTTCCTTGTATTGGAAAGTATCGAAATTTACATTAAATAGGTTACAGGGAACATAGACAAAGAGGCTCTCGATCTGTACGAGTAATCCGGACAACAGCCTCCTAGGAGGCGCTGTCCGTTAGAAGAAGCGCAATGGCGCAATTTGCTCAAACTGCTCGACAACCGCCACTTTCCTTTTTGTGGTAGGTCCTGATCACAGATCAGTGGTTCGTATGTCCTGCTTTATTCATAAGCTTGATTTGGGACGGCAGAACTACCATACGCTCGGCGGAGAAACCAGCCACGAATCAACGAAACCAAAACAATCTCGAGCACATTGTCCAACACGTCCGTACGGCTCTCTGCCGTGCGGACGTAACACATAACGCTGCATGACAACTAGAAAACATAAAAGGGGCACATTACCGTCAATCAGGTGCAACTCCCGAAAGATTCATCCGGACAAGTGTGCCTTGGGCTAGATTTTCTTCGGCAATCAGCGGAGCGGCAGAGCAGACCGAGCAGACGGTAGTTGCAGACGTGCGATTGTTCCGTATCTCACTCGAGTAGGTCGGAGTCAGTCGGAGTTACTCCGGCGAGTCATGTCACGTGACAGCACCGATAGACACTAAACCGACTGAATTGTGGACTGAATAACCGAACGCACTAGACGTTTGTTGATGCTGTGGCTGTGGTCCTGTGGTGGTTGTGTAAGGAAGTTTTGCAGCGAGCGTTGGCACAAGACAGGATTGCTTGTGATCACCTTCCGTGATTCGTTTTATTTCCGGTAGCAATGTCAGGCGCCGACTCCGGGATCGAGACGGGCAGCGAAAGCAACGGCAGCACCACAATGTCCGTGGAATCTCCTCCGAGAGTGAACAACGATCCAGTGAGACTTCCTGTATTTTGTGTTTCTCTATTGACCCAAATAATCCATACACGAACCTAAGATTGCCCTCGCTGTAAAGAGAATGTGTCGAATTAAGGTCAATTGACACGCACATAACGATGTTCTGCCCTCCAGCAACCACCGTGTTGTCTGCTCGACCAAAAACGCTTTAGTTGCTAGGCCAACCTTTCCTGCTTTCATAATCGCGCAGCTTCTGAGGCTTTTGCAATTTGTGACAATCGCCGTGACGTCTTGTGAAACACAACACTTTACTAGGAAATAATAATGATAAAAAAAAAAAGTCGAGGCGAGCTAGCACACGCGATCTGCAAAAATTCCTTTTTCGCCACATTTTTTTTTTTTTTTTTTTTTTTTGCAATATGCATTGCAAGTTTGTGACTTTGGCCTAATAACGTACAGTTCCTACTGCTGCTTCTAAAAAGGCGATGAGTTCACAAGCTGCGCGGATGAGCATCAAGCAAATGGGAGAGCCAGTCGATCAACGAATGTCGATCACATTGCAAGCCGAGAAGAAACATTGTGTCCAGAAATCATTGGTTAAATCCCTATGTTAATTCGTACATAATCAGAGCGTGAATTCATGTAACTTTCAAAGTGTGTGCTACTTCGACTAACTGTCTCGGAATGCAAACAGTAATGAAATCACTGTGCACAAATTTAACAAGTAAAAAAGAATGAACCATGCTCACTTCTCTTATCTGTTTTTTAATGTATTATATTCATTAAACTGATGATCCGCGCCAGTTTTGTTACAGGTAACGGTGTTACATTGGCCATGCAAAAGCTGGAGTTGTTCACCTGACACAACTTTTTCCGTGTTTTACGAGTGTTGAAATTATAAGGTGCAAGGGAGAGGCACGGGCATGAAGTAGACTGGAAAGTGCTATTTAAGGTGAGCTAGTTGGTTCAACAAATTTAAATTATAAAGTGCAAGGGACAGACGCAAGCATGAAGTAGCACTGTCCTGTCTATTTCATGTCCGTGTCTGTCCCTTGCGCTTTATAATTACAATATGTTGAACCAACCAGCCCACCTTAATATTTTAGTTTTGCGAGTGCTTTGTTTGCAGTCGTCCACAAATAGCTGAAGATAACGGGTCATCACTGTTGTTTACAAATGTACAGTGCTCACAGCTGTTAAATGGACTGCGCACTCAGCTGAAGAAACTAGTTCTGCTGCCTGCTGGCACAGTCTGGAAACACCGTGTCGCCGTTCGTTTCTCATGTTCCAATCTCAATTTTGTTGTTAGATGGTCCTGATTTAAAGGGATACCATTTAAAGGGGTAACACTGGCAACATTTTGAGTTACCCCAAACGTACTACATTTGCTTAATACCCAGCCTTTACTCTTTTTGGCATGCCATTTGGTATCTGTCAATTCACGAGTTATTGCAAAATTGACGAACGAAATCGATGCCGAAACTAACGTTCAAACATAACCGCGCTGTTCGGTGCCATGACGTCACTGGCAGGCAGGCTTGCAGGTCAAACAGGCAGCCTAAAGAACAAGAGTGTGCCGTGCATTTGTTTCGTGCTACCGCGTGAGTGCCGGAGCGAGCTTGTAAAGCGTTCATTTGACATTATCAAACCTCCCATAATCAGTTGGGAACAAATGCCACTGCCTAAACAGTGGACCCCTGCCTGCCGCTTGCGTCGCTTCTTCATTGTTGCCAGTATGGACTTCCAGTTTGAAAAGAGAAGTGGGCACCAAAATTTGAAAATTTAATAACTTCACAAAAGAAAAAAAAGTATGCTGTCCTCATAGTTAGGTCACTATATACTTCATCTCACCATAACTTGGCAAACGGCGAAGGCTATGGTCACAGTGAGCCAATTGGCACATCGGAGGAAGGCGGGGAACTACACTCCCTCACTAGCTGTGCGCTGCTGTGCTGTCGTATTCACGGGTGGGAGAGAAAAGAAAGCCACTTTTGTATGAATTTCGAGTGGCAGGCTAATCTTTAAGGGGAACAAAAGCGATGCCTGGGACACACAAGAGAGGGTTGGGGAAAGAGGGGAGTTCCTCCTTCCCCTCTTCTCCAGCTGCTTGGATTACTCGCGCCGCCGTGCCTTCGATGAGGGCTGGCACGTGACTCGCCTCCTTTGCCCTGATTGGCTTGATGGAATTCATTGCGTTCGCTCTTTGCCAAGTTTAAGGTTGAAAAGAAGTATATAGTTCAGTGACGTGTGTCGGTGTGCTTGGACAATTTCAAATCAAATTGAAAACCTTGAAAAAAAAATGCTAGAGTATTGTTTTAACAGTTGCATGCACCATACTTGTTTGCGGGTGGGGGGCACGTGACAAACCGCACCACACCTGCAGCCGGAACCGCCCCGGCACCCCAGCGAGGAAGACAGTGGCGCGCCGGTGGCACCGGAGGCCCCAGCGGGTCTCTGCTTCCAGAATGTGGTGCCGCTGCCCGACCAGAACGGCTACAGCTGCCTGCAGGAAGGGGGCCTGCTCTACGACGAGCCGTCGCGCCACCCGTGCGTCGGCAAGATGCGTCACGCCCACCGCAAGGGCGTCCGCTGGTGGCCCAACTCGTGTCTTAAGGGCAGGGACGTCCTCAGTGAGTCGTCCCCCCGTTACTTGCGACTTTGGCGACCCGTGGGGGGATGCCGCTCGCGACCACTGTGGCAGCGGAAACTGGGTCGTGCCGCGCCGTCTGCCGGCTCGACCGATTCCACCTCAAAGATGCAAGGCCTGCGCGTGATGTCGTCGTTAATGGATCCGCGACACGCCACAAGCAGCAAACGCGCCGGAGCTCGACCAGAGCCGTTGCAAGTTGGCAGACGCGTCAGTTTTGGCGTCGCTGCGAGCTAGCAATGCGCTCATTGTGAGACGCTGCAAGCCGCACCGGTGGTGATGGTAGCACAAACTGGGTTAGCGCTGCATGGATACACTATTGATGACGCTCGTCTATTTGCCGGGACTCTACCTACCGACCACCAGGATTGTGATACGCAACCACGCGACACGCCAAATCCCATGACGTAGTGGACCGATCTCGCCAGGCGTTCGGCGCACGCCTGACTCCGCCATAACTTTAGCTCGCGGGAGGCAGATGGCAGCACTCATGCCGTCTACTGCTCTGCATGCGCGAAGCTGAGGCGACGTCGCACATGGAGAGAGGCTAAAGTTCCCTCGACGCACTGCGGCAACGGCGGCATGGCTAAACTGGCTGGTGAGATTGGTCTGTTTGTTGCTACTTATGGACCACTTTCAGTGCGTGGGTGGTGTGTTCAGTGCCTCACACCATACTTTCATTTCGCTTCTTCTGTTGGACGAGCTTCCTCTTATGCTTTTCGCGGACTGATGGAAGGACGGAGGAATCGATGCATACAGCTTTTGATATTTACAGTTAAACTCTACCTAATATTTGAAACTATAAGGTTAAGCCTTTTGATAGTAATTCTGATAAAAACCTCAATCCGTGTGACGGAAGTGCCTCTTTAAACTGGGTAACTGCGCCTCCTGCCAAATGAAAGGGCACCATTTTTAGGAAAGGGTGCTTCCTGGTTTCTTGCAACAGAATCTTGAACTGTCACCTCGTTTAGGTCGCTTGCAGCAGAAGATGGGCGTCATGCCAGTGGACTGAACACTGAGCTGGCTTGTGATCGCCGATCACTTAACAGCGTATATACTCCTAGCACGCTTGTAGGTTCTCCAGTGTTAAATGCAAATGTGTTTCTTCTTCCTTCTCAAGAAAATGTGTTCTTTTTCTAAACCATAAACTCCCATCAAGCGAAAGTGTTGTTTGATATCAGTTTCGCGATGGTGACATGTTTTTAAACGGTTATGCAGAAATTATACTTTCCATAACCAGATGAAGGGCGACCCTGCAAAATTATATTTCAGCGAGGCTGGAAATTCTTTATTGTCTTCCTTTTCTTTCTTGAGTGGGAGAGGGGAAAGCTCCTTCAATACAAGCTTTAGGTACCAAACTGACCTTCAAGAACCCACCTGCAAGTTCTTGGATTTGTTTCAAATCCGAGATCCTTGGGTTTTAGACAAATGGAATAAAAAAGAACCAAGTAACCTCTATTCGGTCCCATGCACATTTCTATAGCAAGGACGCAAATGGAGGTAGGATGATTGACATGGCAGTGCACTGTGTCCCATCTTTGTGATGCTTTGCAAGATTCAGCAGCGGCATTCCCGTCTTCTCTTGCAGGCGAGCGCAAGTTGAGGATTGGGGCTATCACAAACAAGGTAGACCTGGGTGAGTGAACACTATTTTTGGAAGTCTAGTACAAGCTCTTTTGTTTAGACAAAACACTTTGCACAAGGGCTTACCCCTCTGGAAACAAGCTAATAAATAAAAAAAAGTGTTCATTGTCGTTTACGTAGAACACTCCTAAATGGGTTGATGTGTGTCTGAGCGCTTGGTATCATTTGTTTAGTGAGCAGTTTCATTGTTGGTGCCGTTTAATTCCTTGTTTTCTTTTTGTATTCTTTTTTAAAGACTTGCACACACTTTTGTGGAGAGATGTGTCGAGGGTGAACAACGAGTGTGTCGAAAAGATATCGACCTCACGCATCAAGAATACGACGTGGCTTGTTGGGTCCCGCATTTAGGGCTTGGTTTGTCGCCAACCATTCCCCAACCAGACAGACTTCTGTCAGATGTTTACATTCAAGGCACGGCTTGAACATCATTGATCTGACAGCATCATAAATTTCGACAATTCAAGGCACGGCTTGAACGTCATTGATCTGACAGCATCGTAAATTTCGACACGGCAAATGAAGACAGACGAATACATTCCTTCGGTGTTCTCGAAATACTGCAAAAACCCTTAATGTTCGCGAGCCCCTAATTTCCGCGAATTTCGCGACTTGTAAAATATGCAAACTTCAGTGCGCCCAAATATTTCTATTGTCTGCACAGGCGAATTCCAGCCTTCAGAATTAGCGAAATTTAATGGTCGCAAATATTCCGTAATATAGCCCACCTGAAAGCGAAAGGAAATCGGGTGAAAATCTGGAGCGGGCTAACTTTCGGTCTGTTATCAAAAGAAAAAAAAGCTGAAAAATGCTAGTTTTAAACTTTGTGATCTTTGTGAGCTGCGAAACTTGTGATTGTGATTGCAGGGAGGGGCAATGAACCAAAGACGACTGGCTGTATAAGCTTTTCGGTCAGCAATGTTCGCTTATCAACTGTCGTGGCTAAGTAACACCCTTTCTGCTGAAGTCTCCATTGGCTAGGGCCCTGCAATCACTAGAAGTGGGCTATCTTTCGGCGTTCCTGAAAATGAGCAAGTCCTGCCAAAAATAGGGGTGCGTTACCTTTCGGGGATGGGGCATCCCTTGGGATATTACAGTCTAAGCTTGTTGCAACAGACCTTGATTTTGACCAAGAATTCAGTCTGTTGTAAGAGGAGTATGTTGTATGCAGATATGAAGTTGAGTCAATGTATGTAGAGGAAAACCAACTGAACTTCACAAATCGGTATTTTATATCCAAATGTCTGTTGTAACCAGGTCTGTTGTAATGGGCTTAGACTGTACGGTAACCCCGCTGTCCAATTCGCTAAAAATCAGGGTCTCGAAAAGAAAGGGTTTTACAGTACTAGCACAAATGTTAAATTGGAGAGCTGCTTCCAAAGATAATGTAGTACCGTAAAATACCCCGGAAGTGCCCAGCTCGTTTATGCACCCACCATTAACATTTCCGAAACTTGGGAATTATGCAAATTGCACGTTAAGTGCCCGATTTGACCGAACAAGCGCCCATGTCTGGGGTTACCCAGTTTTCAGTGAAATTAGGGTGGGCACCACCCGGTATTTTACGGTATAAATGCACTTGAGCGGTAGTCCTAAATTTCACAGTTTGCAGCAGCGCCCATTATGCGATATGCCCCTTATGTTGCGGACGTAAATGCTAACAACCATGGTCTCTCTGTACATCATGCACTTCCGGGGGCGGGCAACATTGCAGTTCACCGGCTCTTGATGAACGGTGTCAACCCCCGCGCCGCGGACGAACGCCGCCGCACTGCGCTCCACTTTGCAGCCTGCAAGGGAAACCTGCTCATCGGTAAGTCTCGTGTAGGAATCTGGTCTCGTTTTCCTTTTTCTTACCAGTATGGGGATGTTTCCAAGCTGTTTGGGTCGTGTGCATGTTTTGTAGAAATGAGGGATACTATTCTCGTGTTCTGTTTTTAGTTAAGCATAAGCCCTGGTAAACATAGATTTTTTTGCCCGACACCGGAAATACTAAACGCAGAGAAACAGTGAATCTGTGGGAGAAAATAAGCCCCTAAGAAAACACCCCCAATTCGAAGAAAAATGAACCTCGAGAGTACAGAACCTTACACACAAACCATGTCCGGGAACACACGAAAGAATAAGCACATAGGGCAGAGCACAGAACACGACATCTATTAACTGGCAATGAACAAGAGTGACAAAGAACTGCCCCCCAAAAGGTGTCACCAAATCTTGGTAGGAGGGGGACAAAAATTGATGAAGGAAAGGGAAATGAGAAGAAAGCAAAAGAATTCTGTGTTTGGAAAGATGAGGTTACAAGCTTAAAAACTCTAGCATCACGTCGATATGTGAAGCAGTCTGGTAAGTTTGGGTTTCAGGAATTGAACTTTTGTCTACGTCCCTCTCCTTCCAAGGTTAGGTGATGCCTTTCGGAGAAGCAGTTCTCTGTCATTCTTGCCGTTGCTACTTGAAAGACGTCGCGCCCTGCGCTCCAATCGATGTGTTGATTCTTTTGCGTGTGTCTGAACCTTGCCAACGTCTAAAAGGTTTATGGGATGGCTGCAGGTTGCCGATGTTTCCCCTTACTACCACCAGGTGGCACCAAGAAGTGAGACAGACGCATTAGCCCTGTTCTATATTTTTGTGCACACATGACTGTATCTGCTATCTGCCCTTGATCGTACGATGGTCAGATTTTGAAGTTGTGTGTGTGCGTGGTCGTGTCTTGCAGTGAAAATGCTGCTCGAGTATGGCGCCAACCCGAACCAGAAGGACATTGTCGGCAACACCGCGCTGCACCTCGGTAATGCACTTTCCTTTCATGGTTTCCTGCTTTGCGAAATGCCACGGCCGTGCATAGTCTGTAGAGGCGGGTGCTCTTCCGCCAGCCGCTTCCGCTTGTTGCCCGTTGGTGTGTGATAAGAGCGTTCATATGACCTTCATTTACCGCTACCATGTTTCTACATGTGCCACTAAGTACTGTCCTAGGTCTTGTGTTAGTATACCTTGGTGAGACAGTTTTGCCTCGTCACATGCTGTTCAATAGAAAGGAAGACGAAAAACATGTCCTGTGAATGGCGGACAAAATTGGCAGTGCCGATTTTGCACAACTATAGCACCTCAGTGACGATGCCCTTGAGCATAGCTGGTCTAGTTGTGTTTTGTGTGTATGTTTGCACAGCCTGAAGTTAGTCTGCCACAACGGGCGACTTGTCTTTCAGCTGTAGTAGAGCAATTTAGCCAGTGCAGTACAACCGCTGACCTGGGGTTTTTAACGTGCACCCTGCAGTAGTGATGATACACGACTGCACGCCTGTATGATGCTCATCCAAGTCGAAATGGGAAGGGGTGGGAATCGAACCTAGGATCCCTGGGTTCTGCAGCGCAAGCTTTCGCTTTATGTGCTCCGAGCTAGTGTGCGCTAGCCCACTCGGCCACCGATCCCCCCAAAGCATGGTCCATTAGTGTCTGTTGAGTGTACCATATCTAACTGTGGGAAGCGCTAACATTCTTTTTCCCTCGCCTTAAATCGTTATCTCTCTTTTGTCACAAGCACCTTGCTTTGTACCCGTCAGCTTTGCTAGCTTCATTGGCATCCCTCTAGCCTTTAGAATGGACGTAACCTGAGACACTGGTTTGTGACCCAGAAGCTGCATGAGGTGCCCCCTTCTCGACTAGCATGCATTTTCAGTTTGAGAGTATTTTCCAAATATATGTAGTAACGCACTCGACTGCTCCTAAAGTTCACAGTTTGCAACTTTGTGCATTACGCAATACGCCACTTGTGTCGCAGACAAAATCTGCCCGGCACCATTAGCGAACTGTGACCATTGGGAGACGGTTACTATACAAGCTTCACACTTTCGGTGCTGTCCGAATATAATCGGTGCCTTCGGGTGGCATCGCACGCTCACCCTCCGCATTGCATTGACGTCATGGTTTGCCACATTAACCATTAAGAATTTGTGAATTTGTTACGTGTTAAAGGTGTGCGTGCTCAGTGTTGTTCTTCACTCTGTTACAGCCGTCTGCACTAGTCACACAGAGGTGATCACCCTACTCTTAAAAGCCGGTAAGCAACTCGAACGCGGGCAAGCATCAGGGTCCATGAATGTTTTTTCTAGCATGACCGCTGTTTAATGCAGTAGGCTCGCGATAATTCAGACTCGGCTATTTCATATTTCTGGTTAACTAAACAAATTTCAAAATTTTGATTGTCTTGCTATGCTTACAACGTACGGCGTTTTCGTGTAATTCATACTTTTTGTTTGTGAGGCCCCGTGGAGCACACTTCTTACCAAGCACCGGTGCACTGCAGAGAAGCAACACCCAGCGAGCTCACTTCCGCAGGTGTTTCTTGTCTGCAGTGTACCGGTGCTCAATGAGAAGCGCACTCAACAGGACTAATAGTCCACAATAGACAACTTCTTTGCTGAATGAACAAACTTAATTTTGCTTTTGAGGTGTCATGTGCTATCTAAACGGTCGATGAAGACAACATTTTTGAGGGATGGCTAAACTTATCTCATACATTTCACCAATGTTTCTTCGTGTAGCATACCTGCTTATGATTAGTAGGCCTGTATAGAGGAAATCATCAAATATCTGCTTAGTATGTGTAACCATCCATATAACAAATCATAATTTTATCTTGAACCATATTTAGATGTATTTCTGATAATTCAAACTTCTGATAAAAGAAAATCTGTGGCTTCCTAGAGTTTCAGTGAATGAGAGCCTACTGTATTAATGCTGCTAGGCAAGAGAGTGGTCATATCCACTCATCATTCAGTGTATTAGTGACAAAAGTCATTGATGGCTAGAATAACTTGAAGCACAAGGTACCTGCATCCTCCGTGGACACTCGTAGAAACAGACGGGGACATTCTTCACGTTTCAATTGTTGGAGTTTGTGGCCACCTTTCATGAGCCGCAGCTCAATTGACGATTCAAATCAGCCTAGAGACAATCACAACGGCAGATCGGGAAGAGCTAGACTAACGAGAGGTCTCATACATTTCACCAAAATTCACCCCAGAGGAGTAGCGTCTATTGAATAAAGATTCACTACCGAAAACGTAGACATATTTGACAAGAGTTTGTTAAGTTGGGTTAAAATAATGAAAGCCGTCTACTATTCCCTGTAACGCTGAATTAGAGCGCAGCTCTTGAGGAGGAGGAGGGAAGGGTACTGGGGGGGGTATACCCCTCCTCCTCACCTCCTCGTCCTGTCTGCTACTCCTCCCTCCAAGCGGCGTTGCTGTTGCCTCACGAGGGTCTTGTGACGCCACGGGGGTCACGTGACCTGACCCCCATGACGTCACGTGACCCCTGTGAGGTCACGTGACGATGATGTCATCGTGATGACATCATCATCATCGTCACTTATGTTGTCATTGTCATCATCATCATCATCGTCACTGATGACGTCATCAGTGACGTCACGTGTTTACGCAGTTACGCTGACGGCGACGCCGCTCAAGCTGGAAACAGGCACCTAAGAGCTGCGCCCTAATAATGAGAGACTAATGAGGTTGTTTTTTTTTATCATTAATCTCGGGGCAATACTTCCTCCTGGCAACTCACATTCTTCAGACAACCTATCTATCATGAAGACAGAATTTCACTCAAAATGTCGTTACAGTCGCCGACCGATTTTTCATACTCAAAGGGTACCCCGAAATTGTATGAATAATCGAGTGGTCCGAAAAATCGATTTCAGCCAAATTATCAAATTCCCGCGCATATTCTGCTGCGTATTGGCCACTTTCCTCTTGCTTGATGTGAACTTTAAGTTCTCGTGTAACTGCCGCTTTATATTGTTCACTTTTCACTCGTTTGTTTATCTGTCTTATCACGCTGCTGCGCCTTGTCGGCGCCTTCGTTAGCACAAACAGCGAAGTTGCAGTTGACGCCATTTGGCACTATTTGTAGACAACGTATAGTCCACCAAGCTCGCTCCAACACCAAGCCTATCGGCAAAAAACCTTTGTGCTTAAAGACCACAAGAACAGCGAACGGCCGCTCTGCTCGCAGTCGCAACTCGAAAAACACGGACCACAAGAACAACTGGAAGAACAATAAGAATGGGCAGATGGATGCCAAGTTAGCTTTAGCAGAACCGGTAAACCCAACTATAGCCTCAACCCAGCTTGTTTATTGCATAGGACGTGGTATCGAGGCTACAGGGCAAAATCAAAACAACCCAAATGGCAACAACTAAGCTCGCGGCGCAATCGCGGCAGCTGTTTTGTGGCTGTAAACTGAGGAAATCACGCAAATTATGTCGGAAATATCGAGGAATAAGTTTTCTGGCGTCCTAAATTTCAGTTTACGTTATACATTAACTCTATGGGGTGAGTGATGGTTCGGCGAAAACATTCGAGTAATCCAGCGTGTCCATAAAATCGGCATCCGAAAAATCTGTCGACGATTGTATCCGGCGTTGTGGCTGGTTACTTGAACGGCTTCAAGTCTGTAGCAGATCAGACGAGACAGCTGTACAGTAGAACCTCAATTTTTGGGTGGAAATAGTCGCTATACCAGTACCTCAAATGACTGTATAGACCGTTCCACTAGGGAGAGCGGAGAGAGAATAAATGCCCTCCCCCTCTCACCCCGAGCATCGTCTGCTCCGCCGAGTGGGCTGTACCTAACATTTGGCTGGGAATCAAACTCGGTTTAAAATCGCATCACTTTGGAAATTTCAAGCGCATATGCGCGGATTTTGATATGCAAGTTATCGTAAAAAGCTATGCTCGATTAAAAAAAAAAAAAAATCTAACCGAGTCTAATTGCGATGTTAACCTGCGTGCGAATAAAAAAAAAAGGAAAAACCGTGTCAGAGTGGCCGGTCGCTCGGCGAAAAGTAAATCCGGTTGCTGCAGCTATTCTACTACACGAAGTTCATTCTGGTGTAGGCCTTTAGCCACAATCAGGGGAAATCTGGAATAATAATTAAAAACATACTTTCCTGGGGCAAAAGATGCAGTGGTTGAGGTGCCGGCTGATTGCTATTGAAGTAATGGAACAAAGATACGCTTGTTGATCATTTACTGAAATAAAACAACAGAGTGCTAAAGGCTGATTTTGGAGTATAGCCATAAATATTCTAAGAACGCGAACCCCTTCATAATGGCAGCCACGAGTGAGAGTTCGATGTAGGTACATCCCGCCAGTACAGCCCAAAGATGGAGAACGGCAAGAACGGATGTGTGGAGAGGGCGCTGCGGTCTGACAAAATGGCGCCGCCCTGAGGGCGCTAAACGGAATGATCTATTACCAGTATCAAAAGTGGGCTCCAGCTCTGTTTCACTATATCCATATCTGCGCAACACCAGTTCACTAAAGAGCGGTCTACAGTGCAGGGGCGGTACGGCTGTGCTAATTGCGCCATTTTGACACATTTGCAATTTCCTGTGCCTAGCAGTGCCAAAAGCATGAAATCAACCAAAATTGTGCCATGCTGTGCCAAAGATTACTGTGACACTAGATTTAGCTGAGAGCGAAAGCGCGGCCGACAACCTTGGCTACTCCATTGCCAGGTGGCGCAAGCCGCCGCCCGATTCCTCGGTCAATTTGTATCTGTCCATTCATTCATCTATCCGATGGATTCAATGTACTATACACATTCATGCACCCTAAGCATTGTACCGTTGCATCATACATTGCACATGCTACGATGTACGATACAACGTAGCATGTAGCATCAATGTTCCCGAGTCGTGCCCCTTAATTTTTAATTGAAATTGGTTTCTAAAACAAAATATCCTTCTGTGTGCAATTTAAGGTATTTCACAGTAAGGTTCTATTCAATACTTTCCAACACTTGTAGTATAAACCTAGTTTGCTTAAATTGTAAATCATGGTACAACTGGCTAAGATGATTTCTTAAAACAATGTCACAATTACTCTTATGGTGCTCCAAATCACTGATTTTTTTGTCCTTACTGCTCCAAATGTAGATTTTCTGCTCCTAAGCTGCTCCAAAACCACTGTGGTCTGTCCTACCCCTGCTGTAATTCTCTTGTCAGGCCGACTGCTTAGGGATTAGAGCTGTATAACCTTTCCGAAGACTTATTCTGGTGTTTATATTATCAGAGTACAATTTCTCTTTGTTCTTTTGTACTGTTTTCTTGCACCGACAATCCGTGTGCCTTTGAAAAGGGGACCAAGGGCTCATCAAGCTCTCTCAACACAGCTTTTTCTCTTCTCCTCCCCCATTGACGGAATGTAGATGGAAACAGAATGAATGATTTACTATCAAGTTTGGGCATGGCGTGGCATTTTCCAGGGACAGACGTGAATTCCCTAGACAACTCCGGGCGTACCCCACTGCACCTTGCGCAGTCCAAACTGCGTCTGCTCCAGATGGATCTCGCAAAGTCTTCGGAGAGCCTTAAGCAGGAGGTCATGCAGGTACGAAGATCCGACATTCCGGGTTGGCTCGTAAAGAGCCGGGCAGTGCAAAGCGAAGGCGGTAAAGCAGACGTCCCGGTCCAATAAACAGTTGGGGTGCATCTTTGCCGTCAGGGAAGATCCTTAAAGCTTTTAAGGAATTCTCTCCCGAAAATTCCTCGAATGCTGAGGAATTTTCCTTAGCTTTTGTGCACTTTGCCTACAAGTTGGGGGATTCTCCCTAGCTGTTGAGGAATTTTCCCCAGCAGTTAAAAAAGCTTCCCTAACAGCTAAAAACAAAAAGATATTGAAGACATTTACAATTTTCTGTAACTCCGAATTAGAGTGCAGCTCTTGAGGAGGAGGAGAAGGGGAGGGTACGGAGGCGAGGTTATGCCCCCCTCCCCCTGCGCGCAGAATTTCAAATAAATCTCTCGCCGTTAATATTGCTCTTTTTTTTTGCATAAAATTTGTTTTTTGATGTGTGTGTCCCAACGAGACTGTTTAAAAAAAGTATTTCTTTTATTTTCAGGGGCCCTTTAACAGAAAATTTTGCCACTAAATTTAGCAAAGAAATTTTGCGAAAATTTTCCTGCTAAATTTAGCAGAGAAATTTTACCAAAATTTTCCCGCTCGATTTTGCGGGAAATTTAGCTAAAATTTTCCCACTAAATTTAGAGGGAAATTTTTTCATAATGCAATGCACGGTTAAGCCTGCTTGCATTATTTCCATAATGCAACGCGCACAGTTACACCAACGGCAACGCCGCGAAACCCGGAAATGGGCGCCTAAGAGCTGCGCTCTAAAACAGCTGGGAAACTCTTTAGAAAAAGGTTATAGAATTGTTTACCCGGCTTGAAACGGAGCAACTTGTCCAACCATTTCGATGTTGCAACACTTGCAACACGGGTCCCCCGCGTTCGCATGCAACATCCGTTGAAACTTGATTCGCTACATTTAGTCATCATCACCATTAAAATCACGATTGTTTTGCACTATTTAGATGCAGACTTACGCATTAAAATGTTTTTATATCTTGCGATATCGAAGCTAGCAAGCTCGGGCTGGAGGCAGGAGAATTGCGACTCCTCCCTGCTATCTTCATTCTTCTAGTGATTGTAAAGAACAACTCCTCAGCAATCTTGAAATGGCAGGAAAAATTGCCCTTCTCAAGTGGGGTTGGAGAATCCCCTACCATTTTCGGGGAGCCCATTAGGAAATCTATGTCATTCCCTAACAGGTTTGGGGAATAGTTTTTTCGCAACACGTCATCACGGATCGACACGAGGAATTAAACGTTTCCTGCCATTTGTGGCACGTTGCTGCGTGTCGTCGAGCTACCAACGGACTTTGAAGCCGATGAGCAAACGACCGTGCCATTCCCTCTTCCGACGACGCAGGTGATCGAGATGATGCAGGTGTACCTTCAGAGGAGCGGCAAGTCTGCCGAATGCGACCTCCTCGGCACCTTCTCAACGAGAATCCGCCTACATCAGACGCGCCAAGAGGTATGTGTAGCGGCGAGTGCGTCGATGCTTTTGGAAGTTCACGTCCCAAGCTACCCCTGTGTTCGTGCCCAAGCTGTAGCAAGCACTCTCGTGCTGTCATTGAAAGCTGCTGAGGATAAGCTTTGCTGTGGCGCTGCGCAAGTTACAACGTGCTGTCGACTCGTTCAAGGTTATGGTTTCGACGCAGAATCGCTTTCTAATGGAAGCAAATTCATATTTCGTAACTTTGGCTATTTCTTTCTGACTGTTTATCAAAATTGTGTCATGTGCGTGCTTATCGCGTTTTCTTTTTCTAGATGTCGGTAGCAGGAAGCCCTAAAACTACTACTCGATATGTCTACGAAAAATCGTGCAAGAACTTGACTATGTTTTTTTTTTCTAGAGCTTGTCGTTGTGTTGACGAACTTACACGACCGTGACTACCGTTTTCAGGTGGACAATGACGTGCAAGATTTGCTCTCTAGCCTAGCTCACCTGAGTTTACACAAGACCTGAGCGTGCACCCAAAACAACAGATGGACGTCAAACCCTCGTGCCCCGCCGCAGGCCCTGCAAACTCAGAGCAACTCCCAACCTGAAGACAAAAAGCAGAGAAAGCCATTCAAGGGTTTTCGGACACCAGTTTTCATGGGCGTCTCGAAGTCTCCATCACCCCGTGAATCTGCTACAAACGCGACCGTGCAGTTTTCTTGTTTTTTTTTTCCCCTGTTCATGCCATTCTCCGATTGGACGAGTACGAAACCTTCGCCGGCACTTCACATCGGGCCAAGGAGAGTGTTGGGTTCCGGTGTGTGAGCCAACTTAATTGGAGACTGCACCTTATTTTGCCGGTATTAGCATTGTTCGCCTGCTAAGACCTCATTTACGCAGACTGCAAAATTAAGTCCAGCTCTAAGTGGCTTCATCACGCCTGAGAGAGGGCAAAGTTTTGTTTTTCTATTTCGCGGGAAGTGGTGATATCGGTAAGTGGGCCAGTTCAGACTTAGTCGTCTGCTCGTCTGAATTTCTCGTGTGTGCGAACCAATCAAGTGACGCGAGCGACCCACATGATCTTGTGCTCCGCACGTCGTTGAAAAATCACACTATGTGCTTCTCAGATGCGAATGGCTCGGAGGCCACGCCCCTTACAATCAAAACGGAGGCAGGGAAGCGCTAGATTCCGTGCAGCAGCTCCGTGATTTAAAACGGACCTTGCATCCTTGTGAAACGAGCATGTGCGGTATGCGTAAATATAAGTTACGTGTTGTTTAATGAAGTGCGAGAGGTATTTCACTCTAATGTGAGATTCCATCGTCAAGAACAGCTCGCAGCCGACACAGCTAGCCAGGACAGTTTCGGCTGCTTCCATCCTATCTGCCACTTTGGTTCTTCAGCTGTGGTTATTTGACGCCGTGTGAGAACTCCTCGTAAACTACCGTTTAAATTACGTCTTGTGCACTATATAATGCCATTATACTCGCTGTAGTCGTAATAAGGTATGGCTAGAGTGGCATATACAGTTATTATGGGTGAGACTACAGTGCTGGCAGAAGTACCTTTATGACCTTGTTCCCCTCAGGCAGACAAACAAACAATACTGACTACTAGCGTACCCGGTTGATGCGAGAAATCTTTATCATTACTTCTTGTGCAGAAGCATACTCTTATAACATCTGTTGGTGATGCTTGAGCTTGTAAGTAGTGATGCCGGGACATTTTGTGGAGGTTCGACTGGTTTGGCTAACCTTCTATCTTTCTGCAAATTTTGACGAATGGCCCCGGCTTCTACACAAAAATTTCAAAATTTGGTACACAAATAAATTGGGTAGTTTTGTTTTATATTTTACAAAATGATTACCAATGTCTAAACAATATGAAAGTGACAAAAGGTACTTTTAATGATTGCGTTAATTCGTAATGCAACCAGTGAAGCAATACATACGACAAATATTGCACTTTTCCACCGCCAGAGGGTGTTAGTTCGTTTTCAAATTTGCGCGCCTCTGCACACTGAAGTCGAACTTGGTCGAGCCCGAACTTCGGCGGGTTCGCGGCATCCCTACGCCAGGTGGCGCAAGTCACCGCCCAATTCAAAGGACTTGGCAGGGTGTCCCTTTTAGATGATCAGCCTCCAGCACACGCTCGCTGGAGGCTGGACAACTGAAGGATCTGAAAAAAATAGTTAGGGTGCGCAGGCAAGCTGGTGTAAGTTTACCATTTTGTAGACACCCTGAGACTGGGTGAAGGATCTGCCTGCCCTGCCATTCTCGGTTGTTTGCAGAATGGGAACAGGTTGTCGTGGTGGTCCTTCTGGGAAACAAGTGTTAAACATTGTGCGCGAAGTGTCTGTGGTGTGACTCGTCTGCGACCTTGTGGAATCTCGACGGTTACAGTGATATCCTTGTGACGTTTCCTGGTGATATTTCGTAAGAGTTCAACAGAAATCATAATCGCATGGGCAACCACCATCACCTAAGTGTGCCGCCCCGCCTTTTGTACTTAGATGGAATAAATGTTTTTGAGTCGTATATTGAAGTTTCTTTATCCGCAGGTAACTGTCGTCGTGTTTCTAGTATTTCCAACATCGAAGTTGTCACATGGAGCGTCTCGTTGGACACAAAGTTAGAACCGGAAGTTTGCGGAGCACGCCGATCGAACTTCGTCGACAAAAGCACAGCGTCATCATCCTAAGATTCCAATCTGCACGCTCCGTAAACTTCAATAACTTCATTCCCAACTTTGTGTATGATGAGTCTAGGGTCAAACGTGATGATCTTTTAATTTTTCTTGTAAAGATAAATGTTAGAATTTGACACTACCTTCGGGACTCGACGGCACGGGTGCTGCGGTAGCATGAAGCTGGGCTACTTTCCACCGCAACTTGGAGCACAGTGGATGTCGCGTGTGCGAGTCAAAGGCGTTGATCCCATGAGCTAGTCCCGCTGGCGAGCGTAGCCTCCAAACCTAAACGATAGCGCTCAAGAACCGAATGTAGAAGTCTAACCTTCATGTATATGCTAGTGTCGGGTCAAGAGAACCACCAGTATGAGTAAGCCAAGTCACATGTCCACACTACTCCAGCATGCAACTTAGGGGTTTGCTCAGAAAGTCGTTGGACTGAATCTCGGCTGTCCATACGGGACGCGATTTGTGTCGCGCACATTCGGAGGGTGTTATCCAAAGTTTTTTTTTTTTTTTTTTTTTTTTGCTGAAAATTTGGGATTTGCGTGAGTTTATTTTTTATTTAGGCTCCTAAGTTTTTGATATTTGGTGTTTATTTTGCTGTGTTCTTATATGTTAAAAATTCAAAAACATAATAAATAAAGTCCGGGTACCATGACCCATTGTTCTGAAGGAACCTCGACGTGCTAAAAGGCTAGCCCCTTCTGTCAGTAGTTCTAGATTTCGAAGGAAACTGAAGTGGCATCTCCTCATGTCCGCTGACCCTGTGCTCTTATAAACTTTATTTGTAAAACACCGCCTTTTTTGCTTTTTGTTTTGTCGTTGTGCCCCCCGAAATTCGGAGTTTTTCAGATAAATCTGAATTGACAGAAAATTTACCGGCGAGTGTTTTTCTCGGATTTATCCGAAAACACGGAGCCCTAGTGATAACTACTCTGTTATTTTCCAAGTACGCGAGCGCACGGTCGCTGTCGCGTTCCAAGGCGGACCGCACGGAGGAAGGCCTACATGCTACCGTCCGGCAGGGGTGATCCAGTTGGGCCATTTTGCTAAATTCCCGCTTGTCTGTTACCGTGCCGTCGCACCCAAAGGGAAAACTCATACGAAACTGCGTCGAAGCATTTTTCAGCGAACAAATAGTTTTTTTTTTAAGAGTTTTGGTTTTCGCCTATGGGAATCCAGTAGGGTTTGACCATCCCATACGAAAATGTCAGATTCAGGCCGGAATGAAAAATGCCGGTTCCAGTTTGTATCCAGCCTGGAACCGCGCGTCTCCAGCCCTAATTTTAAACCCAGGCGGTGCTCCGCCGGAATCCACGATTTGCAAAAAAAGCTGCTGCGCATGCGCGAGCAGAGTGTTTGGTTGGAAAACGAATGGGCGTGCCGGCTATTCCTAGGCTGCGACAGAGGCGGGGAAGCAAGCGCGGGAGCGAGTAGGGCCGGGCGAGAGCTCGCGGACGGACAGCTTGCGTGCACGAGCTTTACGCCCATGTGTTTCAAGGCAAACCAAAACTATGCATCACGAAGCCTAGTTGTTTTCCAACCACCTTCCAGCCTCGCACCCATGTTTCCGGCGTTGCGCGATAGGTGGCGCGTACTAGCTTCTAATATGTATATGTGAGACGGAGGCGGCTACGTTGGGCCTTCGTTTCAACGCCAAAAAGTCGGCAGTCCTTCAATTAGCCGGGTCCGATGAGGCTAAATTAAACAGTCTGGTGCTGAACGGCGAGCAAGCACAAGTACAGGAGTCGTACAAATACCTGGGAGTTGTACTGACCAACAAGCCGGAGTACTTGTCCGATCATTACTCCCACCTCCGACAGGCAGCCGTGCGAGGTACGAATGTGCTCCGAAAACGTAATCTTTGGAGTTGCAATCGTTTTCTGGTGACTCGCGAACTCTGGAAGGCGGTTGTGGTGCCTGGACTAACCTTCGCCAACGCGGTTCTTTGTGTCCCTGGCACAGTGCGGGAAGTAATGGAACGTCGTCAACGAGAGGTCGGGAGACAGGCTCTGGGCTGTCACGGAATGGTGGCCACCGAAGCGGTCCAGGGAGATCTTGGGTGGTCGTCGTTTGAGGCCAGGGAGGCGACCAGTAAGATAACCTACGACAGTCGTCTCCGTCTCATGGACCGCGGCCGGTGGGCCAAGAGACTCTTCGTCTACACATATCTCACGGGAATGCAGACTGGCTGGAGGAAGCGGCTGTACCAGTTAGAGAAGAAATACGGCTTCTTTTCAACCCCAGTAACTATCACATCAGACAGGAAGTGGGAAATGGAGATTCGAAACAGGGTGAGAGAGGAGGAGGCAGCTCGGTGGGCAGAAACGGCGAAGTCCAAGTCGACGCTATATATGTACCATCGATATAAGCACAACATTTCGGCAGAGACTAGGCTATACGACAACAGCCTGGGCAGCCGGCTCCTCTTTGAGTCACGCGCAGGAGGGCTGCGAACGCAGATGTATCGCCGTCGCTTCGACCAGACGGTGGAATCTGCAGCATGCCGTGTGTGTGGTCAGGCGGATGAGACAATTGAACACCTTGTGCTGTCGTGCACCGGTCTGCAACCAGTTCAACCGGCGGAGTGTGGACAGGCGACCCGGGAGCTCGCACTGGCAGAGGCACTCGGCTTTGGGTCTGCTTCCAGCTCAGTGGCAGACTCTGCGGGTGGGACTAACGGCAACAACACCGACGCTACACCGAGAACCAACGGAGGGTGGCGTGAGCAGGTGGAAGCCACGAAGCGAAGGCTAGAGAACTGGTGGATGCTAGTTCACCAACGGGGATAACCAAATCCCCACTGGCTAGGTCCCAAACTCTACGGGACCGCCCGATTCAAAAGGGAACAGCCGCAAACCATCATCATCATCATCATCATCGTGGATTCCCGCTGCGCTCACCACTGGACTCTACAAAAGAATTTCGTGTTATGCCCTCAGCCGTTACAACCGAGAGATCGTCGCGATTTCAGACCCAGGCGGACTGGGTCTGAAATCGCGACGATCTCTCGGTTGTAACGGCTAAGAGCATCGCACGAAATACTTCTGTAGAGTCCAGTGGTGAGCGCAGCGGTAATTATGGCGGCGCACACGGTCGTCCAGGCGTCGTCGCGTCGTCATTAAACAGTGCACGGAACACACACAGCACGCACAAGCACAGTATCTAGTGTTGAGTGCGTCGGGAAGTTCCGGCGGGCAAGCGGTATCCGAGTTGTCTAAGTATTGTCAAACAAGCACACGAGCGCGTCCAGATGCCGAGGCAAAGTGCAATGGGTCGGCAGCTTCACACTAAATAAAGATTCAAAGCCGAGGTCAGTGGGTATACCCATCCAGGGCGCGTCAGTATCCGTGCGCCCGCAGCGCGAACGTCGCAGCCGGTCGAGCGCCGAGCGACCGTGCGACGAGCGCGAAGAACAAAACAACTGACTCGGAGACAAAGCCAGGCGCGCGCGCGCGGAGAACGCCCGCTCGCAGCGCCCGCGTAGCGGATGCGCCTGTCCCTAACACGTGACATGCTATGCGAGAGACCGCAAAAGTTCTCCGCCATCCCCCCCCCCCCCCCCCCCCCCACCCCCCACCACTTGCCACCACCCACCCCTCCCTCCCCTCCTCCAGTCACGCATATGCGCGCCCACTGCCCACCCACTGCGCGCCCGCTGGCTGGGAGCAGACCCTACTGGAACAAGGGGAGCGGATCGGATTCGCCGATCACCGAGCGATTCCAGTGCGTTGCGTCTCACTAGATCCAACTGGTTACACCCAGCATCGCGCTGATGTTTAGAACCCCGCGGACCCGAACTGGAACCGCTCCGATCTGACATTTTCGTACGGATATCACAGTCCAATCCATGTTTCCGGCTCCATGGCATTGTTTCACACCAATTTTACCTCCAGCCCTAACAGGTTTTGTCAGTGGCATTTCGAAGCGCACTGCTGAAGGCTAAAGAGCGCAAATAATTCTTTTTTTTTCTGTGTGCGCGAGTTCAGAAGTGTAACACTGTTTTGTAAAAATGTGCTTGTAGATGGTTCCCATTTCATTAGCATATGCTTTCATCTCAAATTATGGGAATCTTTGATTGTCCTACTCGTCAAGGCGTCTGTCATGCAACTAGATCGCGACCACGACTGTGGAAAAGCAAATCAGACGTTGAATGTTTGCAGTGAGAGGTCTTCAGAGTGTCATCATAAAATATTTGTCACAAAGCATTTTAGGAGTTATGAAGTCCAGAAAAATTCTGATTTTTGTGTCACGTGACAAAACTTTGTATCGCGCCAATTTATCTCTTATCTACAGGGTTATATTGATAATCTACATTGACTTGTCAATGCTGATTAGCACGCTTACACTGATCACGAATTTGACTTTGTGTATGGCAGAGCTTCACAGCCGTTGAAGGGCAGTTTGACTGTGCAGTATAACTGCTAACTTTTCTTTTTTAATGGCCATCACACGGCAGTCATTACATGAATGCATGCCGGTATCGCCAATAGGGAAATGGGCGGAATCGCTCCAAACCTATATGTATGTGTTGCTCCAAAGCAGCTCCAAAATTGCGAATTTTCCTGAGGTGCTCCAAAACGAGACTTTTTCCGCTCCGAAACTTGCTCCAAACTTAAAACTGGCTAGACCACCCGTGCGATAGAAGTAGTAGCAAATCGTATCCTGTGTGGACAATATAGATATTTTTAGCAGATTGTTCTAATGTCATACCAATGCCCTTTGATAACGATACCCAGAACTCCGCCGCCGCCTTTGCGCTTGCATCGTATCGTTATCGGGGGTATCGGAATGCTCTGCTAAAACTCTCTATTGGGGAGTTTACGGGAACCCTTTTTGCACATCT